GACCCAACCGACCCTCACCGAGTGATTGTGCCGGTTCACGCAATCGACCACTCCCGGCCGAATAAGGAGGGTACTACGGTAGACAGCCCCATACTGCTTAGTGGGAAAATTGGGACGGACTTAGTAAAATTCTTCGTAGACGGGGGAGCCAGCCATAGCCTTATCAACACTGCCACAGCACGAAAACTGCGACTGCCACTGGACAGATATTTACCTGAGATCGACGCAAGACTGGTAGACGGCACGCCGCTGGCGATACGGGAACGCGTAGACCGGGTTCGGATTCGATGCGGGGGTAACTTCACGTTTAGCCAGGAAATGCTCACAACGACCCTCGACGGAAAGGATATTTCACTCGGGCATGATTGGTTGCGACGACACAATCCGCGAATCGACTGGACGACGGGTGACTGCACCGTGCGAGTGAACGGTAACAACATCGCCCTACCTCGCTGGGGCTCGCCTGAGTCTTCGTCGGTGCGTGTCAACGTGATCACGATGAAACGCGTCGTAGCAGCAGGAGCTGTCGTGTACGCGGTCGACATTCGGGAATCCGAGGCAGCAGACAAAGGAGGGGATTTACAGAAACTGTTGGCCGACGTACCAAGTGATCTGGCAGCACTGTTGAAGCAGTACAGTGATATCTTCCCGGACGACCTACCGACGGGACTGCCACCTCAGCGACCGCACGGCCACAGAATAGAACTAGAACCGGGGGCACAGCCGACAGTACAGCGACAATTTCGACTGACCCAACCCGAACTGGACGAACTGAGGAAGCAACTGGATTACCTGCTCGAGAAGGAATTCATTCGCCCTAGTTCGTCGCCCTTCGCAACACCGATACTGTTCACACCGAAAAAAGACGGGGGATTTCGCATGTGCATAGATTACAGAGCACTGAACAGGGTTACCATCAAATCTCGTTACCCCATCCCGCGAGCCGATGAACTGATCGACCAACTGCGCACAGCCCGGGTTTTCTCGAAAATCGACCTCCGAGGGGGTTACCACCAGATTCGCGTCAATCCGCCCGACTGCCCTAAGACCGCATTTTGCACACGCTACGGATCCTTCGAATACACCGTCATGCCCTTCGGACTGACCAACGCCCCCGCCACTTTTCAAATGACCATGAACGAAGCTTTCCGCCCGCTTTTAGATAAGTGTGTCATCGTATACCTGGACGACATACTGATTTACAGCCTCGACAGAGCACAGCACGTACAGGACATCGAAGCAGTTTTCAAGATACTGAGTGAGAACCGCCTACTGACCAAAGCGTCTAAGTGTGAGTTTTTACAGGACCGACTGGAGTTTTTGGGACACGTTATTTCAGCTGCAGGAGTGGAAATAGACCCGAAGAAAATCGCGACGATTCAAGCCTGGCACGCGCCGACCAACTTGATCGAGTTGCAGAGCTTTTTGGGGTTCGTCAACTACGTGCGCCGGTTCGTCCCCGACATGGCGAAGCTGACTGCCCCGCTGACCGACCTGCTGAGGAAGGGGGTTGAGTACACATGGGGGGAGAAAGAGCAAGCTGCCTTCTCGGCCCTCAAAAACATTTTGTGCTCACCGCCCGTGCTTCACATTGCCGATCCGCACCGTCCGTTCGAGCTCGTCACCGACGCAAGTGACATCGCTGTGGGAGCAGTACTGCTGCAGGACTTCGGGAACGGCCTCCAGCCAATCGCGTACGAGTCCCGCAAGCTGCACCCGCCCGAACGCAACTACCCGATACACGACCGCGAAATGACGGCGATCGTGCACGCATTCAAGGTTTGGCGGTGTTACCTGACTGGCGCCGACGTGACAGTACGGACAGACCACCGATCACTACAGTACCTGCGTGCCCAACCAAATCTCAATCTGCGACAGATTCGCTGGTTGGACTACCTCGAGTCCAACTTCCACTACACGGTTACGTACAAAAAAGGCGCCTCCAACATCGCCGACGCACTCACCCGCCCTACCGCCCAACTCCATGCCATCCTACTCGCCTAAGCCAACCCGCTTTTAACAGGCCTATTTACCCACGGATACCGCACCGACCCATTTTTCACGACCGGAAATTCACAGCAACTGGCAGAAGCTAAAGGAGTTTATTAAGTAAAAACAGGCACCAACCGCATCTGGGTACCCGCGTACTCACTACTGAGGGAGCTGCTACTGCAGGAGGCACACGACGGAATTACCTCGGGACATTTTGGGGTAGAAAAAACGCGACAGCAACTGCAGCGGTATTACTACTGGCCGGAGCTGTTGACCGACGTGCAGCAGCACGTGGGCTCGTGTCCCACGTGTCAGGTGATGAAGAGCTCGAGGAAGCGGAAGGCGGGTCAATTGCAGCCGATACCACCGCCCGAGCGCGCCTGGCAGCAGGTTACCATGGACTTCGTCACAGGGTTACCTTCGAACCCTGGGGGTAACGACGCGGTGATGGTCGTCGTTGACAGGTTGACGAAGATGGCACACTTCGCTGCGTGCAAAAAGTCGATCTCAGCCGAGGAGACCGCTCGCCTGTTCATCGCAACCGTTGTTCGCCTGCACGGGATACCAGCAGCGATTATCAGCGACAGGGACACGAAGTTCACCAGCAACTTCTGGAAGAACCTCTGGGAGCAGTTCGGGACCAGGCTACAGTTCAGTTCGTCGTACCACCCCGAGACCGACGGTCGAACGGAGCGGACGAATCAGACGATGGAGCAGTTGATTCGTGCCACATGCGACGACCCCACGACTTGGGAGCAGCAACTGCCGCTGATCGAGTTTGCGTACAACAATGCCACGTCAGCGACGACGCAGTAGTCCCCCTTCTACCTGAACTACAGGCAAAACCCAACAGTGCCCATGACGCCGAGTCCGGACAACCCAACACCACGTGCACAGCAATTCGCCGAAATTCTGCAAGCTGACCGCACCAGAGCCGCCGAAGCAATTAAAAAGGCAAACGTCATCGCTAAGCGCAACGCTGACCGCCACCGCCGCCTAGTCACGTACCAGTCAGGGGATTACGTACTGCTCGACACGCAAAATCTACGACTGCCCGACGTACCAAAACTTCGACCGCGCTACTGTGGCCCATTCCAAATCAGCAACATGATCACGCCAGTAACCGCGCACCTACTGTTACCGACCGACTAGTACATCAGCCCATCGTTCCACGTCAGCCTACTTCGCCCATACATCCCAACCACCAGCCAATTGCCCCGTCACCGCCCGCATTCCATGACTCGCCCTGCATCGGAGCCGATCATCGAGCCCGAAAAAATTCCGAGCCACCGGATTCGCCACCCCACGGGAATCAGGAGGATTGAATTCCTCGTTCGCTGGAAGCACCGCACGCCAACTGAAGATAGCTGGGTGCCCCTGGCCAACATTGAAAACCACCCTGCCCTACAAGTGTACCTGAGGAGCCGGGGATTCCGCGATATACACGCACTCGCGTAGCGGAGGGGGCTTCTTGAGGGGGGGGGTAGTGTAAGGAATTTTCTCGGCATTCCTTACGGAGCCCGACTACATCGCGTACAGCAACAGCCGTTGTTCGCCCGTTACTGCTAACCAGGCCCCTAGATTCGTTTTGAGGTAGTCTGACGCCTCAGAGTACACCCCTCTTCCTAGTCTGGCTGTCAGAGTTACCTATTTTTTCTAGTCTGAAAATTCAGACAACACTACGTTTTTTACGCTGAACGTTCAGAGTTAAACACAATTTCTGTTTTGTCTTAAACTGAAACATAGAATAACGAGATTTACAGCTCTGACAAGGCGAATCTCTACTCTGACAAGGCGAATCTCTACCCTGACAAGGCAAATCTCTGCCTAGGCAGGGCGAATCTTCGCTCTGACAGTTAGAATCTTCACCCTGACAGGGCGAATTTTCGCACTTCGCTCTGTACAGGGCGAATCTCTTCGCTCTGTACAAGGCGAACCTTCGCACTTCACCCTAGGCAGGGCGAATCTCTTCCTTGACAGGGCGGATTTTTGCCCTGACAGGTTGACTCTTCGGTGTGATAGAGGGCAAAAGTGGTGTGACAGGGCAAGCGTGTGCCCGATGGGCCCATCTGCCGCATCAGGGGGGTTCAAAACCTAGCGAGGACCCTGCTCGGGAGTTTGCGGTGCCGCGCTCGGGAAATTTTGGTTTCCCGCCCGTGATTGACGGTGAGTGCTACACGCCACCAGGCTGGCGGCAACCGCTGTATTACGGGTTTCAGGGGGCACCCCCGATACAAGTATGAGGCTCAGCCTACACTAATAAAATTAGGCTGAAATTTCAGACAACTCATAAAGCAAAACTCTGAAAAATCAGACAAGGTACATAAAGATATTCTTAGACTAGGTACAAAAAAAAAGTCTGAACGGACTCCGAATCAGACTACAAAGTCTGATATCTAGGGCCCTGCTGCTAACGGGACTTCGCTGACCTCGCGCGCACTGTTTTGCCAAACCTCGCACTGCTGGCCCGGCCGTGTCGGCCTACGCTTCGGGACTAGCCCGAGCCTCGCTGCCAGCGTAGCACTAGCTAGCTCGCACGCACCGCGTTACCGTTTGCATGTTTCGCGTATAAATGTTCGCTCATGCCTTCGCTCACATCTTTGTACTCGTTTGACACTTTAGTGCAATCCTCGCTACCTCGATCCATTGCACCCGTAACAACAACCAAAGTATCGAGAAAGTTTTGTACCCCCTAACATGCAACTCACTAGAGCATATCTATATCTACAAACATTGTCTGTGGACTTATCTTCTGTGAGTGTGCTTGAGGCAGCTCAGGCAGCAATCAGTTGGGACAGTTGCACAATACATGCCTGGAAAATGGAGGAGTTCTGTGCTGAACGAATAATCTGCACCCAACAAATAACTTATTTCCATCTACATGATACATCAAAATCACCTCAACTCCCACTCACGCATTCTAAAAACCCGAACTCCTAATCCAACTAGCCACTAGCATCTTTTCACAGCGAACACATGGTCCCCCCAATGCCCCGCATTTCGTCACGTCAGTTGACGACACTGCAGGTGCGGCGGATCTCGCCATTGCGGCCGGTGAGCACGCCGAAGGAGCCCATGCGCACCATGGAGTGGCGGAAGTGGCGGAAGAAGCTCTTCTTGTCCGCCGCGAACTCGTTCACCAGGTCCTTGGTGCGCGCGTCGATCATCAGCACCTGGTCGCTCGTCAGAAGCCCGAACTTGCGCTGCAGGTTCTTGAAATACTGCGGATGCAGCGACGGGCGGAGATAGCATAGGGAAGAATATGTATTAACATGAAGGCTGTGAGAAACGCTTGTTAACCAGAAAGGTGGGGCGAAGTTTATGTTCATTGGCTGAAATTGTGGTGCGCTCCTAGAGTGGCTTTACCTGGTTGTCGAACCGCTTAGCGCTCTTGATGTCGAGGACGACGGGGATGGTACCGTCGACTCTGGGCGCCTTGCAGTGGCCCTCCAGGTACTTCCGCATGGACCGTGCGATCGTGGGGTCGCGGTTGGGCGCGATGCGGTGCGCGACGGTGTCGCAGTGCGACTCGCCGATGGTGTGGCCGCCGGAGAGCGTGACGAGGTCGACGAGCGTGAGATTGATGGCGGCGAAGTTCTTCAGCAGCGCGTTCACGTCCATCTGGTGCCCGGGCAGAAACTTCACCGCCAGAGCGGCCTTCGACGTGCGCGAATCGCGACGTCCCAGCTGGGTCTTAATGTACGGCCCGCCGGCCTGCACGAGATACATGGTCGCGAACAGAAGGACGGCGTATTTGTGGACAGCGTAGAAGGGCATAGTTGTGGGGGATGCTTCGATTACATATGGTGGAAGCCGCATAATGCGAGCGGCAATCAATGACTGGAAAAGACAGGCTGCAGCGCGCAGGCTAGCAGAGGAGCAGGGGAAAGAGGCGGAATATAACGCACCAGGCTGACGCCATCGCGCGCGGCAAGAGCGGCGATGTCGGCGCAGCTGACGACGCCGGGGCACTTGGCCTCGACGGCCGCCTTGATGCGGTCGATAATGTTGAAGCCGTTCAGCGACAGGTTGGGCGGGGCGTCCTTCTCTGCCTTGTTGCCCGGCGTCGAGTTCAGCAGCACTGATCCATCGCAACCCTGGAGACCGCAGGCGATAAGAGGAGAAAAGGACGCTTTGAGTGTCAATGTAGGCGAGAAGTAGATAAGCGGGGCAAGAAACCCAGCAAGTCGTACCTGGACAAAGCAGTCGTGGAAGTGAAGGCGAAGAAGCGGCGCCGGAACGGTTTGGTCTTTGCGAAACTCGTCAATGACGATCTCACGAACAATCGCCTCGAGGTACGGGCACGAGTCCTTGTAATACGCCCGACTCAAGCCCTTCGCTTCAGCGACTTGGAGAAGAGACATACGCCATGTGGCGGTGGCGAGAAGTAGCAGAAGGAGCTGCGACAGCCCACGAGCCATGTCGAGCAGACTAACAAGAGGTGACCGAGAAGGAAGGAGCAAGCACGAGAATTGTGATGTGAACGTGAGCACTTCCACTAATGGAATGGCTTGTTGGGGAGGAGAGCGCCGCTTTTCTACAGCAATGGCGGCGCGGGTGCTTCTGCCAGGCACGGCCCTTGTCACATGGGGAACACGTAATTTCCCAAGGACTGTAGATAGGGGTAGTAGCCCTGAGTATGTCGAAGTGCACGACGTCTTCGGAGGGACAACCACAACTGGGGTTTTGGTTCGGGGCCGACTTGTACCAATCTCTCTCTTTCGTTCCAGGAATCGGGTGTACAGAAAGAAAACCAGCAAGAAAACCGTGCTTCCTACAAGAGCCACCCTAAAACGGTACGATACCAAGCTGCTTTGTTGATGAATGGGAGTAATTCCCACCGCGGCTTGCTCTAGGGAGGTCTACATTCAGATTGGGCTGATGTCGCATTCAGCCAGGATGAGATTAATCGTATCAACTGCATTACATTTGCCAGGTATGTTTGCCAAACATTTCGTGACCACCCATTCGATTGCTACATGAGTTGAACTGCTGTACTGTACATCCTTGCGCCTTTCGAATGCGCAGTTCAACCTGGCAATTTTTTTGAAACAGTTCCCACAGCGCAGCAAAAATTTTGTTGACGAATTGTACGAATCACATTCTCGGAACCTCGAATCGGGATTCTTGGCAGTCTGTAAAATCCATGTCACCTAAATATTGTGACATGGACAATTGCAATTCGTCAAAATATATTTTTTCTGTGACAACTCGAGACTGGGAGAGGCCAGGCCCGGAAGCTGGTGTGGATGGCGGCGTCGCCCCAGCCAGAACAGCGCGTGACTTCTCGGTGCGCACTCGTGTACAGTTCAAGAAGTAGTCAAGCAGATGGCCGCAGCTGCAAATCAGACCTTGTGAGAGAAACAAATTTCGACATGTCACATATGATTTAGTGCGAACCTCTTCCCTAACGTACACCCCGAAGTGGAGGCCCGTATAATGCAAGAAAATTAGCTATTCCACCTCTATTCTGGTTTATCTATCTATATGGTTGTGCAGCCAACGAAGATTTATCAATCCAAGCTCTGGCTCGTACTTCTCAAGCCGCGTGACAAACTTCTTTAAAAGGCCGAGCGCTCCTTTAGGCAATTTAAGAAGCAGTAACCAAATGGTTGTCATTTCAAATAACCGAAAAAGAAAACCTTCATGTGTGCACAGAGAGAGAGTGCTGACTGCGAATGAACTCAGCAAATCCTTACAAGGTTCACTTCAAGAAGCAGGAAGGCGTGAAGACATTGGTATGCTAATGCATCATTGATCTTCTATCAAGACAAGAGTCACAGCAGAGAGCTGTGAGTCAAAACAAGAGAGCAGCGACACATCGAGCAAGGACCACGTAGTGCAAAGCCCCCGCTACAGCCCTCCCATGCCTCATCTAGTCTTCCAGCAGTCCCCACAACCCAATCTGCCGCCTGCTGCGCAGGGTCATCACCAACCCAGCCTGAGCCACAAGGTACCAACAAACGGGGAAAGGTACAGTCAAATATGCTCATCGCCCCTTGACAGCACCCCACTGCCCTCACTCCCCATCATCACCTCTCCACCCTGTCATCCCAACTTCAATACCAGTTCACGCCCTAATGACCACAACCACGACCCAACACATCCTACACAGATTAGTCTCCTCCCAGCCCCCTCTCGCACCTTCTCACACCGCATACCTGACAGTCGTCGGGGCGCAACCGCCCATGCTGCCATGCGCAACAAGCCAAGGTGCCTCACTGTACTCCACGCCACATGCGCCCCCCATCCTCCCGCCCGCCCACTTGCTCTCCTCGTCACACACCCTAGCTGCTGCCCCTGCTACTCCCATTTCTCCCGCAAAAGATGCTTCCTGATGTGTCCAGCTATCCCTGGCGTTGCTGCTGATGCCACACAACCCACTGGCATATCCCATCACCCAACGGTGCTGCTGTGCCCTCTCCTGCTGCTGCTGATGCTGCTGCTCCTGCTCCTGCTGCTGCTGAAACTTCACTTGCTGCTGATATTCCCCGTGCTGAGGGTACTGAAGATACTGCTGCTGCTGCTGCTGCTGCAGCCCCTCATAACCACTGGCCACGTACTGATGCGCACTCCCCTGCTGCGCCTCATACACCGCATACATCTGCTCAACATAGCTCATCCCCGAACCAACTTCTGTTCCTGATTCCACCCCCGTCCCTGCCCCAGCTCCAGCTCCTGCCCCTGCACCCGCCCCTGTCCCTGCGCCTGCACCCCTTGCCCCTTTCCTCCCTGACGCTGCGTCACTCTCCCATCCCACCGCGTGCCCCTCCCTGGCCTGGCAGGGAGTCATCGGCGCCAGCAGCAGCTCAGTACTCGCCACGTCCACCAGCCCACGTGCATCCCGCTCGCTCACCCCGCCCGTCCCCGCGCGGCCAGCCACGGGACTCAGAGGTTCAAACACCAGGCCCTTGGGATGCCCGGAAGCACCCGTGCCAGCAGCACCAGGTGCAAAGCTCATGCAGTGCGCGTGAGTCTGCGCTGCCGCGGCGGGAGCTGGAGGGCCGAGGGAGAGGTGGTCCGGGGTCAAAGGCACAAGGTGGGAGTGCGGGAGAAACACACCCTCAGGCGTGAATGCCGCTCCGCCATGCAAGTACGCACCTTCCTGATTCCCTGCCATCCCGTATCCATAGCAGCTCATCATTGCAGCTGCCGCTGCACTGTTCGACATGGCTTGCTGCAACGCCTGAACCTCATGCGCTGCCACTGCAGCTGCTGCCGCGGCACCTGCAGAGGCCGCAGACATTGCAGCGGCAGCGGCAGCTGCAGCGGCGCCACCATCAGCGCCCGCACCGGAACCCTGCTGTGCCCCATACCACGGACCCCCACCCAACCCCTCGCTCCACCACCCGTGTGCTCCGCTCATGTCCCCATTCGCCCCTGCACTCATCCCTACCGCCGCTGCTGCTGCTGCTGCGTCCGCCATCGCTGCAGCTGACGCTGCTGCGTACAGATCCTGTGACTCGCCAGCTGCTCCGTTCCTCGCTTCCATTCCCGGACCATTCACACCACCGCCCCATGCTGAAACACGCTCCTGCCCATGCCCTCCCTGCTGCTGCTGCTGCTGCTGCTGCTGCTGCTGCATGGAAACTTTGCACGGTGCTGCTGCTCCCGCCTGAGCTATCGTTGCTGCCTGCTGCAACGACCAGAGCCCATGCGCCCCCTGCGGACCAGAACCCGACCCCTGCTGACCGCCCCCCAGCGCAGACAAACCAAAGCCCTCCTCCCTTGCGCGCAGTACACCCGCCGCACCAGCAGCTCCCGCGTGCCCACCCGCGCCCCCTGCTCCTGCCGCCGCCGCTGCCGCTTCAACTGGCGTGACAGTAGCCGCGTCAGCAGAGGGAACGGCCCAGGAGGAGCCAGAGGTGAAGGACGGAGGGAGGAGGAGAGACGGCACGGGCATGGTGTGCATGTTGGGGTGATAGGAGTAGAGAGTGAGAGGGGAGGCGAGGGCAGGCGTGGGGAGCACGGTGCAGGGAGTGAGAGGGTGCGAGAAGTCCTTGGAGGCGAGCGAGGAGGAGGAGGCGAAGGAGGAAGAGCTGCGCAGGGGCTTCAGGAAAGGGTGCGAGAGCGCCTGGAACGAAGCAAAGTAGACCAAGAATAAAGGGCACGCAAACAAAAGAGAAGGGTAAGGTGAGATGCCAATGCTGCTCAAAGACGGACAGCATGCCGCCGACACATTTCTCGACACGAACAACAATCAACGCCATCTTTTGACCCCCCTTACCACAATCCCTCAGGCCAACCTCACCCTCTTCCCGTTCCCCCGCCCCACACACAGCCACCCTCAGTAACTCCAACCCCATACTCCCCCTGTTCCCCCAAGACCGCTCTCAATCCGAGGACCTGCTGCGCGGAGAGTCGCACGCGCGGGTCGTACTGCAGCAGCCCCGCCACCAGATCCGCCAACTGCGCGTCCACGGCCGCCAGCGCGTCCCCCAGGTGCGAGTGCCTGCGCGGAGGAACAGAGCGGATGAGGAAATGCAAGGGGGGTGGGGACGGGGGGGTGGAGTGGGAAAGGGAGGGGGGGGGAGAACGACGGGACAAAAGAGCAAGCGGATGAGGAAATGCAGGGGGGGTGGGGATGGGGGTGTGGAGGGGGGAAGAAGTGGGGGGGTTGGGAAGGAACGACGGGACAAAAGAGTAAGCGGATGAGGGAATGCAGGGGGGTTGGGGACGGGAGGGTGGAGGGGGGAAGAGGAGGGGAGGGAGGGAAACGACGGGAAAAAAAAAGTAAGTGCGTTCTACACACAGACACACAAATAAACACGGTTGCACGCGGAAGAACACGGAGAGGAGGAGAGGGTGTGTGAACTTAGGGAGAAACAAATGGGTCGTTGGCGCTCCGTGGAATAAAGGAAGCACGAGCGCACGCACCCAGGAGCGAAGATGTTGAACGCCATCGGCGCGCAGTACCCGCCGCATCCGTCCGCAACCCCGCCATACCAACCACCTCCCCCTCCTCCGCTGCACCCGCGGAAGCACACCGCCATCCCGCCACCGCTCTCCGTCCTGCAGCAGCACACGCGCGGCACGCCCGCGGCGGCCGTGAGCTTCGGGAAGAACTTCCCCGAGCCGAAGAGGCACGCGGGCGGGGCGACGCCGAGCAGCGCAACCATCTGCTGCAGCAGGTGCTGCGGGGACTCGCACGCGAAGAGCAGCTGTCCGGTCGCGAGCTCCGCGAGGATGCATCCGAGCGACCACAGGTCGATCGCGGCGGAGAAGGGCACGCCCAGCAGCACCTCGGGCGCGCGGTACGCGAGCGTCTGCACGTTGTAGTCGTGGCACAGCGTGCGGATCTGCTCCGGCGTGAACGAGTTCCCAAAATCCGCGATCTTCGCCGCCACCTGCGGCGGCGCCGCCGCGGCGCTCGCACGACTGCTTGCGCCGCCGCTGCTGCCGCTGTAGGGCAGCGGGTAACCCGACGGCGTCCCCGACTCGTGCGCGCTGCGCCACGATGACGACCGTCCTGCCGCCATCGACCCATCGGCTTTAGCCTGGGAATCCGTCGCACCACCCGTCCACGGCGACGCGTTAAGATCGCCGACAGAGGAGGCGGACAGGAGCCCAAGCGACGCAGGGTACTGCGAGTAACCGTTGTCAGCCGCGACGGCGGATACGGTACCGCCGGGGGAGACACGAGAGGAGGTAGAGGTGTTGGAGAAGAACGGAGAAGAAACAGACGCGTCGTAACGGCCGTACGGATCAGAGGTAGAAGACGCGCGAGGGGGGGAGGGGGGGGACGGGAGCGGCTGCATGAGAATGTTTTCCGGTTTGAGATCCCCGTGAATGATGCCTGACGCGTGGAGCGCAGCGATAGACACGATCAGATCGTGAGCCAGGCTGCGAATCTCCTCCAGCCGAGCCGCTGCCGTCTCCGCTGCCGTCTCTGCTGCAGTCGCCGCCGCCGACACGGCCGCCGCTGCCGCCCCAACCAGATCGCCCGTCCCTCCTGCCGCCGACTCACCCGAACCCGCCGTCATCCCTGCCGCGGCAACTGCGACTGCCGCGACGTTCGCAGCGGAAGCGGCGGCGTTCGCGGCGGAGGCGGCGGCGGCAGCGGAGCCCGGAGAGTCGGCAGGGCGGCACATGTGCTCGAGCAGACTGCCTTGCAGGCGCTCTAACACGAGGCACGTGTGGCCGTGAAACTCGAAACCCGCGAGGAGACGCACGATGCGGCAGGAATCGTGGGGATCCACGATGGTGTTGAGGAAGCGCAGCAGCTGCTGCTCCTGCAGCCCCACCTCGCGATAATGGCGGTGCATCGCCTTCACCACCACCGTCCTCTGCGACGGGTGCCACGTGTCCTCTGCCACAAACACGCGTGCCGAGCCGCCTTCGGAAAGCGACTGGAGGAAGCGAAAGCGGCCGGCAAGGAGCGGAAGATGCGGACCAACGTGGAGTTGGCCTTCGGGGAGGGTATAGTCGGAGTACCTGACGTAACAACCATCTTGATTTACACCCGCAGTTTCCGGGTAATATGGGCTCGAACATTCATCGCCTACTGTTGAAATGTAACCACTAACGGCTGCGTCGCCGTGCTTGCTGTCGGCCCACCCCACGTAAGAGCCGTGCCAAGGCGCGCCCGAGACAGCAGCACCGCTTGCCATTTGATCAGCTGCTGCAGAATAATCAGTCGCTTGCAAATTCAAAACGTCGCCGTGAGGACTAAGTGAGCTATGCACGAAATTATTCCCCGTTACGGATCCTACAAAACCCGAAAACTGCACAGCAGCTGCGCTTGGTGCTACCAACTGCTGCTGCTGCTGCTGCCGTTGCTGTTGCTGCTGGAAAAAGGACTTGGAACGCGATGAAGCTGCGTTAGCTATTCCACCGTAGAAAGAGCGAAGGCCGACGGTCAGGCGAAGAGCAGGAGTCACTGCCTGACTCGCGCGACAAGGAGGCAATTCACGAAGCGAGGAGGGCCGACGGTAAGGAACAAAAGCAGATGAAGTATCTGACACGGGACGAGAGCCTAGCGGCACCTGACTCGCGACACACGACGGCGCAAGGACGTGGGAGGACACAAACGAACTAGGGTTTCCGGAAGGGATCGAGGTATCGTGAGAGGAGGTAAACGCGGGAAGGGACGAGAGCGGAAGGGAAACAAAGGCGGAGGACCAACGAGGGGATTGACCTGGAGGAAGAGAAGGCGCGCAGAGGGAAGCAGACGAAACGTCAGGGAGGAAGGAGGAAGGTGTGGGTAACTGAGGAGGGGCCGGTTGCCCAGTAGCTAGCAAGCACTCAGATCTAGTAGGCACATAGCTAACGCCTGACTGGACTGGAGGCTGCTCCTGGAACTGCTGCTGCTGCTGCTGCTCGTGCTGATGCTGCTGCTGCTGCCGCCGCCGCCGCCGAGGTTGCTGCTGCTGCTGCTGCTGCTGCTGCTGCAGAGTGGAAGGGCACTGGTTTGCCCACTGATGCTGCTTCGAGGCGAATCCAGGACCCATCCCACCCGACCCCTCCCAAGCTTGCCCCATGGGCAAAGCCGACCCACTGAAATCATAAAGCTGGCGGCTGCAGCACAGCCTTGGTTGAAAGAACCCCCCGCCCACGAGGACAGAGGGTGGAAGAGGAAGAGGGAGGACGGAAGTCGTCCATGGTCTTATCCAGTAAAGATAAACCTAGAGGAACATAGTGACTTAACTAATTGGGTCACAAGTAACTGGTTCAAGGCTTACTTACGGAAGCTCCATAGCCCCTGAATTGGGGAGACATGAAAAGGAGGAGAGTGATGGGCAAGACAGGAGATAAGGAAATCCTCCCGGCAGGGGAGTCCAGTCCAGCGAAGCTTTGGGGTTTGTGCGCTGATTGCCCGCTCAACTCATCCAGGTTCCGCTCGTTCACAGCGCGCCAACGCTACCTGCGCGGAGGTGCGCAGCAATCGGTCAGCAGCTGATTGGGGTTGTTCCGAGGGGGAAAACTTCCGTCAGCCATCCAAACAGGGTGCCCCTCCTCGCCCAGGTCTCCAACCATCCGGTCAACAACCTCAACAGAAGATAGAAGGGCGACAATCCACCAATTCAGGTTCCTGGATCCAACGTTTTACTGTAGCTAAAAATCACAGACCGTGGAGAGCTCAACACGCTATGTAAAAATCAAGGAATGGGATGAACAAATCATCACACCCACAAAGTGGTTGAGGGGGCTGGGTGATCGCAAAAAAAAACCACGTCAGCGGATGCAAGTCCGCCATTAGGGGAAGTGTAACCAATCCAGCCCTGGGGTTGTCACGGAACTGAAAAACGGCAACACCTCCTGGAATTTGGGCCGTCAATCTTCATCAACGAGACCTGGTGGTTGCTTCGGTGCAGGCATCTCGTCGACGCCGCAAAAGGGAATCTCCTACCCCCCTGATGATGATGATCCACTTCAACCCTCCAAAGTTTGCGAAGCGGAGCTGTTCGTCGGACGAGCTGCCTCGTTTTCTTTCGAAGAACAAGGAACAAGTACAGTTCCGTGCTACTTATACTGTTAGGCCCGACGGCCTAAGTCCGCTAAAGAATTAGCGGGGTCGACTAAGTCGAGGATGAAACGCGGCGGAAGACTTTGGCGAAAGAACTATTGGCGAAATAGGCGAAGAAGTTACTGAGTAATTGAAGAAGAGTTGAATGAGAATTGATTGATAATGTCAAATACAAGCAAGGTTTAAGTAGCATGCAAGAAACAAGGTTGGAAAGTAGATTGTGGGACTAGGAATTGGAAGGCAAGAGAACTAGAGTGCCACGTGGCACAAGGAAATCTAGGAAATCTTGGATGAGTTGGATGAAGATAGGGTTGAGATAAGGTTGGGGGTCTGTTTAGGGTAAACTACCCTTGAACAGAAGGGCGGGCGTTGCGGCTTGAGTGGCATTGGTGCCATAATGGCCTGTTCGCCACTTGTCGCCGCGAACTCCACGTGCCGACGGGCTTCGCGAGGCTCCCGCGGGCTTGGTGCGACCCTGTTTCCTCCCATGCCAGGCATCGGCTGGGCGGCGCCATCGCTGGCTGCGCCTGAGCGCTGTCCCACGCTGTTGTTTTGTGTTGGTGTGCCGGACGAGATGACGATCGGCTCGTCTGATTGTGCAGATGCATTTGTCGATGCGTGTGGTGGCGCTGGAGTGTTCATCGTTGATTGCTGACGCGCGGAGTCACGTTCCGCCGTGAGCGTCGCAATTTCGAGCGCCGAATCTTCGAGTTGGCGCACCAGACGGTCGAGCTGCTCCTGCGTCAATGTGGCGAGCGTGAATTCGGCCATGGCGGGGGTGTCGGGCGAGCTCAGCGAGAGCCTCGGTCGTGGCCGTGCGTGCTTACGAGAGATCACTACGAGCGGCGGTGCTGTGTCGCTGAGAGACGTCTACCCCCCCCCAAAAATTGAGATAGTGGGGAAGCGAAGGTGTGGGTGCGGTCCGAGAGGAGATCGTAGGCTCTGAATACCAAGTGTTACGAGTGCAATTGAGTGAACGAACGAGAATTGCACTATCGAAGCAAGAGTACAATGAGCGAAGGCATGAGCGAAGAATATATAGCGAAACTACAGTGGTAACGGTAATGGAGTGTGGTTGTTGCGCGACGGGCCTGGGACTGAGGTTGGGAAAAAGTGTCGAAGCGGAGGCCCGGAGCGCGGGTTACCCGCCGAGCCGTGAGGTCGGGGTGCGATGTGCGAAGGTGGCGGGCGGATTGTCGATGCGAGGGTTGCGAGTGGTAACGGTGCTGACTGTGGTGCTACAGTGATGTACGCGTTGAGCAGGGATGCGAAGTAAGGAAAAGGAATTTTCCTTACACTGACGCTAGTCAAATGTGAATGAATAAATATGACCCACCCTCAGATAGCTTTGCTTACTCTTACGGGTGCAATGGATCGAGGTAGCGAGGATTGCACTAAAGTGTCAAACGAGTACAAAGATGTGAGCGAAGGCATGAGCGAATATTTATACGCGAAACATGCAAACGGTAACGCGGTGCGTGCGAGCTAGCTAGTGCTACGCTGGCAGCGAGGCTCGGGCTAGTCCCGAAGCGTAGGCCGACACGGCCGGGCCAGCAGTGCGAGGTTTGGCAAAACAGTGCGCACGAGGTTGGCGAAGTCCCGTTAGCAGTAACGGGCGAACAACGGCTGTTGCTGTACGCGATGTAGTCGGGCTCCGTAAGGAATGCCGAGAAAATTCCTTACACTACCCCCCCCCCCCCCTCAAGAAGCCCCCTCCGCTACACGAGTGCGTGTATATCGCGGAATCCCTGGCTCCTCAGGTACACTTGCAGGGCAGGGTGGTTTTCGATGTTGGCCAGGGGCACTCAGCTATCTTCAGTTGGCGTGCGGTCCTTCCACCGAACGAGGAATTCAATCCTCTTGATTCCCGTGGGGTGGCGAATCCGATGGCTCAGAATTTTTTCGGGCTCGATGATCGGCTCTGATGCAGGGCGAGTCATGGAATGCGGGCGGTGACGAGGCAATTGGCTGGTGGTTGGGATGTATGGGCGAAGTAGGCTGACGTGGAACGATGGGTTGATGTACCAGTCGGTCGGTAACAGTAGGTGCGCAATTACCGGCGTGATCATGTGGCTGATTTGGAATGGGCCACAGTAGTGCGGTCGCAGTTTTGGTACGTCGGGCAGTCGCAGATTTTGCGTGTCGAGCAGTACTTAATCCCCTGACAGGTATGTGACTGGGCGGCGGTGGCGGTCAGCGTTGCGCTTAGCAATAACATTTGCTTTTTTAATTGCTTCTGCGGCTCTGGTGCGGTCAGCTTGCAGAATTTCGGCGAATTGCTGTGCACGTGGTGTTGGGTTGTCCGGACTCGGCGTCATGGGCACTGTTGGGTTTTGCCCGTAGTTCAGGTAGAAGGGGGACTGCTGCGTCGTCGCTGACGTGGCATTGTTGTACGCAAACTCGATCAGCGGCAGCTGCTGCTCCCAAGTCGTGGGGTCGTCGCACGTGGCACAAATCAACTGCTCCTTTATCTGATTCGTCCGCTCCGTTTGACCGTCGGTCTCGGGGTGGTACGACGAACTGAACAGTAGCCTGGTCCCGAACTGCTCCCAGAGGTTCTTCCAGAAGTTGCTGGTGAACTTCGTGTCCCTGTCGCTGATAATCGCTGCTGGTATCCCGTGCAGGCGTGTCAGAACATTATAGCTCATGCATATTGTGTAGGCTATAGTGGGGTAGCCCATAAGGGGTACAACCCAATTAGGGTCATTACTTGTACTCAATTCATTCATAGTTGATCCATTCCTCGTTTATTCTCATGGTATCAGACCTACAGGATGTGGGGGTTCACCAGTTCACTCCTGCGAGTCAGCGGGTGACCCACTGCACGGACGCTCGGACAGGCCGACACCTGGCCACGTTTACACGTCGGCCGGGGTCGAGCCTGTACACACTGACCACTGCGTCTCCTCCGGTCCCTGCGTCTGGTCAGGTAGCTGCGTCGGGTCAGGTGTTTGCTGCAGCGTCCAGGTCTGGTCCTGAGTCTGCCCCCTGCTCGTGTCGCCTCCTGTCTCACGAGACTCTCCTCTGGCACCACCGCCTTGGTCACCCCTCCCTGCTTCGTCTCCGGAGCATGGCCTCCCGTGTCCTTGTCTCTGGTCTTCCCCGGTCCCTCCCTCCACTTCCTCCGGGGCCTGGCCCTACCTGCGTCCCCTGTGTCGAGGGACGACAGCGGGCTACCCCTCACTCCTCCCAGTTTCCTCCGACAGAGGCCCCGCTGCAGACGCTTCACATGGACGTGTGGGGCCCGGCCCGCGTCCGTGGACAGGGTCACGAGCGCTACTTCCTGCTGGTGGTTGACGACTACTCGCGTTACACCACAGTCTTCCCCTTGCGCAGCAAGGGTGATGTCACTGAGGTGTTGATCGACTGGATCCGCGCAGCTCGTCTCCAGCTCAGGCGGAGCTTCGGCTCGGACTTTCCTGTTCTGCGTTTGCACTCTGACAGAGGAGGAGAGTTCTCCTCTGGCCTTCTGCGAGCCTACTGTCGTGCACGAGGCATCCGCCAGACCTTCACGCTTCCGGACTCTCCACAGCAAAATGGGATTGCTGAGCGCCGCATTGGCATGGTCATGGACGTCGCCCGTACGTCCATGATGCATGCGGCTGCCCCCCATTTTCTGTGGCCGTTTGCGGTTCGGTACGCGGCGCATCAGATCAACCTTCAGCCCAGGGTCTCCATGCCGGAGACCTCCCCAGCCTTGCTGTGGACGGGGAAGGTTGGCGATGCGTCTGCGTTCCGTGTCTGGGGATCTCGGGCGTTTGTCCGCGACTTGTCTGCGGACAAGCTGTCCCCTCGTGCTGCTCCTTGCGTCTTCCTGGGTTTCCCCCCTGACGCCCCAGGGTGGCAGTTCTACCACCCCACCTCTCGCCGTGTTCTGTCCTCCCAGGACGTCACGTTCGACGAGTCGGTCCCCTACTACGGCCTCTTCCCCTACCGCACTCCGTCCCTCCCCCCGCCACCGCTCTTCCTGGTACCAGGTCCCCCCCCGGTAGACCCCCTCCCCCCTCAGGGTCC